AATAATTTAAACATTTTCAATGCGTCTGCTTTCCATTTTCAGAAGTTGGATTCATGGAATTAAAGGTTTATAGCTCACTGATTCAATGAGACTTTTGAAAATTGAAGATGTTTCCATGTAATAGAAGCAATTCTGAAAACATTAGTGGTAAAGAATGGAAGAAGCAAAAGAGATTCCATTTTAAATACCTTAGAAATGAAACTAGTAATTAATGAGAACCCAGGAAGATTGTTACACGTTTGGAAGTGGAAAAAATAGAAGCAAGTTTGATGGAGAAGGGTACTGTTTTCTTCCTCATTCATTTTTACATAAATGTAATATATTGCTGACATGCATGAAACACACAGATTATTAGGTCTGTCAACATTAACAATACTCACTTTTGTAAAACGTTGTTTTTATTTTTTCCTTATTTATTCATTAATATCTCACAAGAAATGGCACCAAACAGGTATTTTATATAGAAAACAAGGATAATTAATTGAACGTTCTATTAGGGATAACCATTTGCATGGAAGAGTTTAACCTGAGGTTGCTCAGCAATTCAGGAAAGTGAGACACCCAGAAGCAATTTCACACCATAACCTTTGTGTCAAAGATTTCATGAAGCATTGGTAGCTCTTAACACCTATTCCCCTAGTGTCCCTTCCCCAGCAGGTTATCTCTGGGAAGGACATGGAGGTACCAGCAGCAGAGGCTGTTTATGGCTCATTACAGCTACATTCCTTGTAAAACTGTTCACTGCAACCCATGCTACATTTACACTTAATCACAGTTTCCAGAAAAAGAAGCACCTCAATTCATATTTTTCTTCAGAATTCTACCGTATGAAATGGAGGGCAGATCTCCCACTGTACAAAGAACCAGACTTTCTGGGACAGTACATCACTAGTCTAGTAATTAACCTGGTCATTCCATGTGCAGTAGCATTTACATTTAACAGTTACAAACACCCTGTGTGTTGTAGATACCATTGATCAGGTTGGAGCTTTTGTCTTTTTTATACAATGGGCTTTGTAATGCATTAAACACATCCAGTTTCTCACAACAGAAGTGGTTTATAAAGAATTGCCCAATTCCACTCCCCCATAAAATTCTATTCTATGTGAAAAATCTCCTTAACTAGCAGATAACAGTTTTTATGACTCAAACTGTTAATCTGTATGGTTTTGCCAGCAGCTATAATGAAGCTGCCTTGAATGGCTCTCCAGTTATCAGACAAGTTGAATGCACTGTACACCATGGAAATAAGGGTTTGGTTGCACTGGAGACTTAAAAAATATGTAACTTCTTGTACTCAAGAATTTCCTGAATTAATTTCATGCCTATTTTTGGATTCCTATATTAGAAAACAATATGTACAGATGTCCACTCACATGTTTAAAGTAATTAATCTTTTTTTTTTTTTTTTCTTTCATTCAGACAGTTTCAGAAGTTTCTAAAAAGAAATTATTCCACCTGAAAACACACATACTTATTCTGCACAATCTTGTATACATTTTTGAGGGGTTTTCCAATATTAAGAACAGTTTCCTTGGAGCACTTGTGCCAAATGTGATCATCCTTCATTACTTTCTAAAAACTAGGATTTCCTCAGAAGGTCTTTGTAAGAAAACTTAAGAAATCATATAGGCTACATTCTACTCTAGCTAATGACATTATGACATTATGAGGACCATGGGCACGAGCCAAAGTGTGGCTAGAACAGACACATATTTTGAGAGAAGAAAAGCACTTTTATGAGAGAGGCTAAATCTTCAGAGTACTGGAAATATACATCTTATGGACAAAACACAGTTTCTGTAAATCAGAGCCATACTGAGTGTCTTCTTTCACTTTAATTTTCCAACATGTATCCTGTACTGTATGCATCACTATATTTATTTAAATTTCAAATCAAAACTTGCACAAGAGGATTTCATTTATCAGAAGACAGGGAAAAGCCCTGCCATAGCCTCCTATTTATACCAGTTGTAATCAAGGACTCAGCACACACTGTGCCCATTAAAATCCATGTTATGTTACCAGATTTAATTATTTCCAGATGTTGAAGAGGGACTAGAAACAGAAGAATAAGTAAGCTTTCTCCATGCATACACTTTCATAAAAGCATCTCTTGCTTTTAATGTGAGTAAGGATCTAAGCAAGGCACTCAGTGAAAATCATGATAGTCGGAGTCTTTTTTAGGAACTGCTGAGTGAACTGGGAAATGGTTTTGGATGAAATATAATTAAAAGTGCTCAGTGCACCCTCCATATGTTTCTGCTTAATAATGGAAGAGAGACAGCCTCTTTCTCTTTTAAGGGAAAGAACTAAACTTCTACTGCCTTATATACTTGAAAATTTCCTTGCTCTAAACATGACTACAATGAGGACTGCCTAAAGGAACCTGGAAAACGACTGAAGGAGGAAAAATTTAATTAACAGTTAGCATGGGAAATTAGAATAATGATTCATTCTTCCTCTTTGGACATGACTCTGGACCTTTGTAGATATATAGATAGATATATATATATGTATATATATTCAGTACTGATATCTTGCTTACATTTTCCCAAAATTAACAAATATATTTTTAAATGCTTTAAAATAATCTTTATTTTTGTTACATTTTTTTTGTTTGTTTTTATTTTGAATAAGCTGATCTTAAAGGAAGAACTATTTTAATTTACTCAAAAATTAAAATAAATAAATAAATGAAAGGTGCTGTTTCATTTTTTTCCATAACCCATTTACATCCCTTTTGAATGAATTCAACATCCAAACATCCACACAGGAATTTCATGCTGTATTCAGGGCTTGCCTGGGGAAGATGAGAGGAGGGAAAATTGTTTAAAAAGCAATGGTTGCATCTTGAATAAAAGGGCAGGGGTGGGCAGGAACCCTGGCTCCCCAGGAACACTGACTCCAAATCACCGATGCAAGAGGCCAGGGGGGAAGTGTTTGCTACTCTTGCTGCTCCAAACCATCAAGTGTTTATTTTCTAGAAATCTTTCCCCTTTGCAGAGAGCAGTTGAGTGTTGTGACAGGTAGTCAGGTCTGCTAGGAGTCACTTGTTTACTTTATAATACAAGCAGGGTAGTTTGTGCAACCGTTGCTTCGACGGCTGCCATATGCTAAGGGAATAGATGCTGCAGAGAAGCAGGAGAGGATCACTGCAATAAAACTTTCAGGAGCTTCACGTTTCTGTAATGAGCA